TTTCTTCAGCATCAATGACTGTCTCATTTCTAGTTATGGACTCACTTGCATGTGGGTTTGAATTTGCTATTTTTTTGGAACATACAATCATCTCTGGTCATCTCTACAGTATTGATCATCTTCACTAAAATGCTCTTCCTCAAGGCTTTCACCCATAACTTCTAGTATCTCGCCCTCTCTTTTACCGTCATTGTTTCCATTTGCAAATGTCCCTCTATCCTCTTTGCTAGTCCTCTCAACAATTGCTTTGTCATTAATCACTTGGGAAGCATCACCTCCCATATCACTTCCCATTAACATTTCAAAATGCCTTATACCTTCTCTAGTCCCCTGCCTAGAAGAGTTGCCACTTGAACTACCCTCACCATCCCCCTCTCTACAAGGCTTGCTCCCTAAACCACCCTCACCAACTCCTTGCCTATAAGAGTTGGCACTTGAACTACCCTCACCAGTCTCCTCACTACAAGTCTCGCTCTCTAAATCACTCTCACCTACCCTTTTTGTTGACTTTTTCTTAGATCCACTGCTAAGTGCTAACCACTATGTCAAAACATGGCTCTCTTATCATTCTACCTTTACCATCTAGTTCTTCTATTAATTTACCTGGCTTTTTTGAGTTTGAGCAACCTCCTTCGTAGGTGACTCATATTGCATTTGAAAATTTTTTTCCAATGACACATGATCACATTACACCTCCATTAGTTTGAACTTTTTTAACCTTTTGCAGAACTCATTGATGTCTACATCCATTTGCAATAGCCTTAACCCATGGTTCAAGTCACCATTAGACTCAATGTAATAATAAAGCATACTATCTGTATGACCTAACTCCTTTACCGTGATATTTATCTCATGCACAAACATCCTTTCACCATCACATAAGTCTACATAGTTAACTTCACCATTAACATATGACTTGTAGTTGGAACCAGAAATACGACCGCCATGGTGTAGTCTTATGGAAAATAGAACTGAATCCTCCTCTGCACATTTAAATTATAGATTATTAATGGACTTAATATACTATTCAATTAAATTATTAGATGTATGACCAAATTCCCAAATTTCTAAACTATATACAAATGAAATATAATAATTCTGCCAACTACATTAGTAGAACTAAACAAGGACAACTAATAGAACCCCATAAAACGCATTTTTGTAAACAACAAACTTGTTTTTGTTCCTCGTAATCAAACAATAACAAAGCAACAGCAGTTTCTTAAACCCTATAATTGCAATACATAGCATTTATAATAATGTAATGCCAAATTACTCAAAATAAGAGCTAATCGACTTACCGTAAATTAAGTATGGATCTAATTGTAGTCCTCTCTCTCTTATCATCCAGTTCATTTTTGCTTCTAATCTGAAACACCCACCCGAAGCTTCTGATTCTGTTAGCCAACTGCTACTTTGTAATCGGACAGACTTCCCAAGAAGATGTTTCCATTTTCAAAGAATTGTAGAGAACTGGGAAAGTAAAGAGGAAGCAAAGGAGGCCCTTCAACACTTTTCTCCTTTTTTTTTTTTTAAATTTCATTCTTATCGCGAGACTTCTTCTATCTATTCGATCGTTTTTGCCCCTAATACCATCGTCTCTAATGATGAAATCTAACAAAAGTCCTTAAATTAAGCTTTTTTTTTTGTTTAGAGGCATAATCTGTTACAGTTTATAGTTGAGGGGCCAAAATAAAAAAAAGTGAATAGTTTAGGGGCCTGCTGAAAAGTTTCCTCTTTTCTAATAGGCATGCAATTATTTACTTATTTGGTCGATTAATTGACTATAATTAACTATTCATGTCCTCTAATTTAGACTCTATGTTTTTTATTTTTTGTGTTTGAGTATTTTAAAATTTCGAGAGTGACTACACAAAAGTTACTATGAAGTGTTATAGATTGGAAAAATAAATAAATGAATTATGAGGGAGTAGAACTTTGGTACTTCGGATACTCTGTCTAATATCTCTGTCCAAGGTCCTTGCCTAACTCAAAACAACATCTATTTACTTAAACGGGAAAAAAAAAGATCATGTGGCTTTTGGTCTCCCAAATCACCGCCTTTTCGGCTCGCAATTTTTTTTTTTTTGCCACATTACAGCTTTTATTTTAATGAAACAAACCTCTAATCTAGAGTTGCAAACATATTGCAAAAGGTTGAGTCCAGAACTCAATGACAAATTATTAATCCAAATCGTAAGAATTTCTATGGGATTTTTAGCCCAACCTTTTGTATGACTTGGATTAGGAATAGAGTCCATGTTCAGATATTAAAAAGTGGAATTTGCTGTAGAAAATGTTGTCTGCCCTAGATATTGGAAAATACAAATGTACTTAATTTGGCGGACTAAATGGAAGTTTGTCCTTGCCTTAGGTGCTCCTATCCTAGGGTATTTTTTAGATTCAAACCCGGACTCCATGGACTGGTTACCTAATAGTGTCCATGGGTACTTATGATTGTGTATTTAATAAAAGTTAAATTCAAAAACAATAAAAATATATAAAAATTTAAATATGACAAAAATACTATCTAATTACCATTTTGCGAAACAGAAATCCATATTCAAGAATGTTGTGTGCAATAATTATGAACTCAAAAGATGGAATATTATCTATTAATTGAATTTTATTGAAAATTCTTATCTATGTTGTTCAATATTTAAAATTGCATGTCCTTAAACCTCCTCCAAGTTTTTTCATAATATATGTGGGTTGAAGTAAGGTGTGAATTTGGGTATGAATTGGGACCTGATATGATTTAAATCATATGCCACATAAATTTATAAAGTGTGATTATATTGATGCTTTTTGGGGCCAGCTATGATTAACACTATGGATATTAAAGTCATTCTATCATAATTTTTTGATGGTATCATAGTTTTTAACTCCCACTGGTCAAATGAGGGGCAAATTTCTAGAAATAATGCCAAAAAAAGTCACAGAATTGGGAAAAAATACACACCATTTCTTCATATAAGATCGTTGCAATTGAGTTGTGGGGCGACCCTAACATTTCTTTTCCTTTTTCATTTTTTTCGACATGATTTGAAAACTTTTGCATTGGGTCTGGAATGCAAAAAGGATTTTTTTTTTTTTTTTTAAAAGGGATGCTGCAGCACATATCAATTAAAAAAAAAAAATCAACGCCATCATTATTGCGCATACATGCAAAAGGACAATTCTTAATCCCACATTCATAGTTTAATTCCAAAAGATACATGCTCGCATAGCATATTTCTTTCATAAAAAAAATTATTTTCTTTTAGCAACAAGGAGAAAAGAAAAATATTTATGAGATTCTTTCAACTATAGAATATTTGGTTCTTCTCAAGCTTTACCAGTAAATCTAAATTGACATTCTGAATTTCCTTGAAAAAAACATTAATTGTAACAAAAATAACACATGAGACTTTGGCTCTTCAGTATTAAATCAACTAATGAAATTATCATAATTAACTATTAATGCATGAATTTATATCTTGTTATTTTTTTTTGTCAGCAACGATACATTTGGCCTAAGGAGGATGGGTATACAGATCTAACTAAACTAAGGGAGTGTTATGACACAATCTTTAGATTTTTTTTCACTACAAGTGAGGTTTGAACCCTCACCTACAGCCCAAGAAGGGACTTAAGTCCCTCCCTGGTTATTAGTATGTCTAATTTGGTATATCAACATTCTCACCAATGCTATACACCGGTCACATTTTTTGATGAAAACACTCATATTATTTTATAAATATACAAAGTTACTTGAAAAGAAAAGGTTAAAAGTTCAAAATGGTGTCTATTTTAGGGTCAACTTGTATCAAAATATGTTATTTTATCTAAAAGCAAAAGAAAAAGTTTTTACTCATGCAAGGTAAGCTATGACCTAAATCATCAACTTGAGAAAACTATGAAATTGTCTAAAAAAATGTGCTTGCTTTTCATATATTTTTGCAATTGTCTATCATTTATTCTGTTTAGAAAATTTATCTCTTACGACATATTATGCCCTAAGAATTCGTTATACTATTAAATTACCTACAAACAAATAAAGATTAATTCAGAAGGTGTTGTTTGAAGATATTTTTTTAATAATTTTTTCCATAAAAAGATTCAAAGATATTCAAAATAAACTAAAAAAAATCCAAAAAAGACAAAAAACAGAAACATCCAAAAAAATACCAAAAATACAATCACCACATTCTGCTCATTGCACTCTCTGCTATCTCTCTCAACATGTGGCTCCACTTCTCCTATTACTCTCATCCCCCCTTTTTTACCACACACTTCCTTATAAATGCAACAGTGTCGCCACATCTAGGACACCATTTAAAAAAAAAAAATCTTTTTGGGATTCGAATGCAAAAGTTTGCAAATGGTGTTGAAAAAAATGAAAAAGGAAATGATATGTCAAGGTGCTGCATAGCTCAATTGCAGTGACCCTATATGAAGAAATGGTGTGCATTTCCCCCTAAATTTGTGACTTTTTTTTACATTATTTCTAAAAATTTGCTCAAGTGAGGTGACAAAGTGTATACATGCAACCATTGGGCTTTGGTCTGCCCTCCCTCGTGCATTAGCGGGAAGTATAATACTTCCTTTCGTCATAAGATTTAGAAAATGCATTAATACACTTGTCTGGTTTAAAAACTCACCTCCAATCTCATACAAGTCTAATTAGACACGCTCTCCCCTCTAGTATAAGAGTAGAATAGATTGTTGACGATAGATCCAAAAGAGAAAGAAAATGCAGGAGGTGAGGAACAAAGTGGATATATCCAATATTGGAATGATAAAGGGTGATTCCGTATTGCGTTGAGAGGGTAAAGCATGATTAACGCTACATAAAATATCAATGGGAAAAAACTTGGTGCAATATTGCAGAACAGGTAGCACAATTTGCTTGAAACTCAGATCATGGCTTCATTTGGTTTTTCTATTGCCACCAACCATCCTTAACACTAGAAGAAAAGAACTTAATTCTGCATTCACATTTGATGCAGGAAATGATAACCAACAAAAATCTGTATCATCACAGGTGCTGTGCCGTACTATGGAAAATTACATAGTTTCACTTTCCAACATAATCTAAGAAGTAGAAAATAACTTTTGACTTAGCAACAAATAATTGAAAAAATGAAACTTGAAATGAGAACCACTTAAACTAGAACTGCCAAAAGATCAAGGTCTAGTTAGAGCAGAACATTCATAGTCGTCCCATCAATTAATAAGCAATCTCCAGAAATATCCTATCAGACATATTCAAGTCAAAAAAACAAAAGAATAAGGAAAAAGAGTACAAAGAAAGAAAGCTGATATTTGCATTCCTATTTTGGATGGACCTTCTTCTTCTTGACATGGCAGTTGCAATCATGCATGCTGGTTATGCATCCTAACTTCCTCTTCATTTCTTTCCACATGTTCACTTTTCCTTTTCTAGCTTTCCTGCAGCTACCATTCAGGATTTCCCTTCTCATCATATCGCATTCTCTTTCCAGTTCCAACACTTTGCTGCTCATCTTTTCCATCTCTGCCTTGATCACTTCTTCTTCGCTGTTGCAACCCCTTGTTGCTGCTTCCTCTTCCTCTTCCTCTTCCTCTGCCCCTTTTAAAAATAATCTCCCCTCCTCTGATCCCTTGATTTCCTTTGGCATAGTCTCTCGCATTTGCAACTGAACTGCAAATAGCACTTGCACCATTACTCTCACAGGCAATCTTTCATTCCTTGAAGCATGTAAGCAAGCTTCTGGAGACATCTTGCTGCAATCCAACAGGTGGCATACCTCTTCTCTCTCAGATTCTGTCAGATATCTATGCTTGTCTAAGTAGATATCTATAGCCCTGTACATTCCATCTGAATTTTGTAGAATTCCTCTAGATGCTGCAAGTGAAAAGTCAGCAAGTGATATAAATGTGCTCATCTTTAAGTCTATGTCACTAGCAATTTCAATCAGAAAGTTCTCAATAAGTTCTGCCACTGTGATCAATTCATGTCCATCTTTTCCAGTATAATTGCGATAGAAATTCTTCATGAGCCTCCTCACGCATTCTGTGTCATACCGTTCTTCCTTGGCATATCCTTGAGAAGGTATCAGGAGATCTTTCACAGTCGCCTGGTCTAATTGCTTCCCAATCCTGATTTCAAATCCATTTCTACACTCGTTACTAGCATCCAAGGCTATTGCAGACCGTAGCATTTCAAATAGTAATGCGCAGGGTATTAGTCCTCTTGCATTTGGTAACATTCTCTCCACTGCTTCAATTATCTCTCTCTGGATACTTTTCTTGTAAATTGAACCATCATCCCCTTCTTTCATGCTGAAAAGTACCCACTTTTTTGCATACTGACATACAGCTGCAGCTATGTATTCTGCTGGGATTTCCCGCTCAATCATTGCACCAATGATGGGCTCATAGAGCCTGAGAGACAATATTGACAAATCTTCAGATTTCCATTCCAAAGCAAAGAGTTTCCTCCGCACATTTGGCCTGAAGTAATTTTCATTGTCCTCTCCTTCATCATTGGAGGTCAAGTCCTTGAATGATTCTCCAAGAAGATGTGGATGTTCCAAAGCCTTTAAGATTATTGATTCGACACAGGCACCAACCAGGCCAAGATCCGCTGCTTGTTGAAGAATATCCTCTGCGGCCTTGAGGGCTCTAATGGATTTGTTCCAACTAGAAACAACTTGGTGTTCAAAGAAGTCCAGAGCCTTGCTGAACAAATTATTGGTGCAGTGGCTCTCAGTCATTCCAAGGTAGTGGGCTAGGCAAGCAACATGCGTGACATTTTCGGTTGACAGGTTGATTTCGTAACCATGGCAGAATCTTGCAACTAGCTCAAATGTTTCTGGGTCAGCAGGGGCATCTCTAAGAACATTTGTGAGATCCTCACTTGGATGATCTTTGAGCAACACAGCTAGCTTTGATGATTTAGAAGCCAGAAGTTCCTAATACAGTTAACAACTATCAGATTTATATAAACTTTAAACAAAGCAGAAGGGATATCTAAATCAGGGCCTTTAAAAGACAAGATTTCCTTAACCAATTAGAGGATGAAAAAAATGGGAAGCGAAATGGCTGCATCTAGAGGATGTTCTTACCCTGTCTAGTGTAAAAGGTACACCATCAACACAAAGTTGCACTTCTGATGATGCTTTAGATTTTGACTTCCTGATCAAAGAAGAAAAAATGGTTTACAGAATTGATTCCTAGATTAACAAAGAAGGGTATGGTCCTTAACTTATTACCTGGTTGCAGAATCTATAAACTGCCCGGTGGCCATTATATATAGCTTCCAGTGATACAACAAATTGGTTCCAGAACAAGGAGATGATGATTATTCAAATCTGTAAGCTAGACAAAAATCTTGAAACCCTGAGATCAAATTATTCTCCAGTAATACAACAAATTAGTATGTTCTTAACTTGGTTCATTTGCAATAATATACAGATATTTGTGAAGCAACAACAGTGCATCTGAGGTGATATGTAATGCAGTAACCATAACTTAAGTTTTCCAGCCCATACTTCAATCAACAGATGCTCAATTGAAACTTAAATAACTTCTGGTATCAGTGTTACATTGAATACGGTATAAACTTTTTAGCTACATAATCATGAAATTTAGTGCTTATTTTGAACAACAAAGATCCTGTAGATGATGTAAAGAACAGTTTTCAATGGCTATAGGCAGCCTAATGTGTAACTCAGTCAAATTAAAGCCAAGTATGATCATCACTCACACTAAAAGACCATTGCAACTTGTGATTCAATTCCAATAATTGCACCAGCAAAAAATATAACCAATAAAACATGCGTGTCATAATAGACATCAAAATGCACTGTAAAACTTCCCCAAAACCACGTTTTAAAAAGACAAATTGGTAAACTAGAGGAAAATTTTGGAAAATAGTGAAGTAATAAAGGTGTGGAAAATAATGGTAGTACCTTCTTGAAGGGCTTTTTCACCTTAGTACTAGATCCAGCAGCAACACAAAAGTTTTGCATATTTTGTGAAAGCTGAGAATTCTCTTCATTGTTACTAGACATATAAGTGTAGATGAACATATAACATGTGAATGTTTATCCTACTGTTTGACTCTTCCAACGTTCAACCCAAAAATCAGGATTTCTGTTAGGGATAATTTCAGAAATCTCCTTGAGGTTTCTGATAATTGCATTGCCCTCTCTTGAAGTTTTGAAAATACCACTTACCTCCCCTATTAGTCATTTGGAACCCAATGCTTATCTCATAAATGGTGACATGACTATACTATCCTTACAACTTAGGAAATATTACGTATTTATATGGAGAGAAACAATTTAGTTACTTGTACTAAATTAACCATGATTTTGAATATAAAAAAATTGAAAATCTTGAATACTAAATTTTATAACGATAATTGCTAGCATTTTAAAATTCTTTTTCTATATTTTAGTAGTTCTTATAATTTCTTTCTCCTAAACAAAGATTAAAATTCTGATTAAATATTATTATTTCATAATTTTTTCATAAGAAAAACAAGATGAATATGAAAATACACAAAAGAGGGTAAAGTATTAAATATGTTTACAATTAGATTTTATTAAGTTATGGATAAAATGTAACTGCACATAATCTATTCTTTCCCTTCTTTTCCAAAATATTTGGTCTTTCTTTTATTTTCTTTGTATAAGTAATCCAAACAAAATGGTTAGAAAATTTTTTTTCTACTTTGATTTATTTGCTTTTCCATTAAAATCATACCCTTTTATTAATCCAAACGTTACTTGAGAGTTGTATTTTTTTTAAATTACAAATGATGGAAATTTCTATTCATTTTCTATACACTAACAGTATATGCATTTTTACCATTGGATGCACGACACATAATCTGAATCTAAATTTGAAACCCAAATTTTGCGCAAATATCATTCATCGAACCGTGATAGTGTATACACTGTTAGTATATATAAGAGTTACTCATATTTTTTATCATTTGCCATCTATAGTGATTTTTTTCTTATAAAGGCCATACTTGTTTTGTTCAATTCCTTTTCAAAATCTTTCAAATTTTGATACTAATAGCTAGTTTGAATGTTTAGCTTAGAAAAAAAAACATGGGAAATGTTAAGTTATGAAAGAAAAGAAGAGAAGAGTTTTTAATATTGTTTGAGAATTAAAGTAGGAAAAGGCATGATTTTGGGTATATATGTCAATAAAAATTTGTTTAGTATACCCTTGAGGACAAAATTGGCATTTAGAAAAATTTTATTAGGCATTCTTGGCTTTTGTAATGCTTTCCGCCTGCATTTGGGCGGAAAACTTTGGTAGTCATAACAATGGGAGCTCATTCGTCCAAATTAGACGCTTTTCATCCTTTGCTGTTCTTTAAAAACTCCCAAATACTAGAAAGAGTGTCTTTTTTATCACATTTTTTTTCATCAAATCGCAGCTCCCAAACTAGTTATAAGAGTTTAGAAAATTTTTGCATAAATCTTGATTCCAAATTAATAAGTTTTCCTCTCCAATACTTTGATTTTGTTATTTTATATAGTACTATGAAAATGGTTATTATTACTAAATTCTATTACATTCATGCTAGGGTTTAGTCTTTATTATCTATTTTTAACTAATACTTCCTTTTGATAACCAATTAGTAATAAGTTAAGGGGTATTTTTGGTATGAAATATTCTTCTTACTCTTGAAATCATTTTTTTATTGTTGATTTTTTGAATTAGACTAATTTGTTACAAGAACATTAGTTTTAAGGGAGGTTAATGATATTTTGAAAACTTCAAGGGAGGGCAGTGAAACTGTTATAAACCTCAGGGGAGGTTTCTGAAATTATCCCTTTCTGTTATTTTCAAATCTCTGAAAGATTTAGATGGATAAAACCAAGAAGAAAATAAGAAATGAAGCAAGAAAAGTTCTACAAGCCATACTAGAACGTTAGCTAGATTTAAAAAAAAAATTAAGTTATTTTCCGAAATATAATTAACAAACTAATTTTCTTGCAAAATTGATATATCCACCAATTATCACCAACAAAATATTAATGTGGTTGGACACAAACTTGAAAATGTGACCACAAAGATTCTTATTTTTTTTCCAAGAAAAGAAAACAAAAAATGAAATTGACTTCCATGATTTATTTTATTTTATTTTGTTTTATTTTTTTTTGTGGCGAATATAGCATGGTAATTTTGGTAGTTTATAATTTTATATGGTTCCTTCTTGATCCAAACGCACCCAAACTCTCTCTGTTTCACTACCCTTTGTATTTCAATGTTAGAAACTACCACAACTTCTGCTCTACATCAACACCAAAATTTCCCTCTTCTTTCAACAGCCAAATCCACCCCAGCACTTGTCATTCACAACTATAATTTATCCATCTCTAAAAAGAGGAAAAACCCATGGGTCTGTTTGGATAGCTTGTTTTTGGGACTGTTTTTGAAAAACTGTTTTTCACATTCCAAATGCTACAGTAAATGTGTATTTCAAAAACAACTCCAAAAACACCATATCCAAACAATATATCAAAAACAACTCCAAATAAATATTTAATATGTTTATTTCAATTTGTATATTTCAATTATGTATATGATATATATATATATAATATTAATTTAAATATATTTATTTATACATATTATAAATATTTTATTTTATAAATAAATATATATTGGATAAAATATATTTTTATATATTTATAATATATTTATATAAATATTATATATTATAAATTATATAAATGATATATAATAATATGTAATTATACATTTATATAAATATTATATATTATATATATTTGATATATACATAATATATATTATATATATTATACATTTATATAAATGTACATTTATACATAATATATATATTTATGTATATTTATAATATACTTTTATATAATGTATTATATATAATATAATACATTTATAATATATTTATACATTTATATTTAATATATTAATACATTTATACATAATATTAACATATATTTATAATATATTAATTTATACATTTATATAATATTCATTTATAATTTATACACATTTATACATTTATAAATATATTTATATTATGTATTATATATAATATATTTATTATATATATATTTATATGTATTATAAATAAATATATTTATTTATAAATATTTATAAATGTATTATAAATGCATAAATGTATATAAATATAAAAATATAAAATTTATAATTTATAATTTATACATTTATACATTTATATAATATTCATTTATAATTTATACACATTTATAATAATATACATTTATACATTTATAATACATTTATATATTTATTTATAAATTTATTATAAATGCATAAATGTATAAAAATATAAAAATTATAAACTATAAATTATAATTTATACATTTATATAATATTCATTTATAATTTATACATAGGGGTGCAAACGAGCCGAACCGAGTCAAACATTGAACTTATCGAGCTAGACTCGACTAAATAAGAATCCACCCCAGCACTTGTCATTCACAACTATAATTTATCCATCTCTAAAAAGAGGAAAAACCCATGTTTCCATTCCCTTTCTTGCTCAGACTACAAGAAGCGACTTCAAGTTTCAGCCACCAGAAAACAGCAGCAAGAACAGCAAGAGCAGCAGGAAGAGCAGAAGCTGCTTTCTGGCTTAAGTGATCAGATATGTGAGTATCTGTGCAAATACTTGTGGGTTTTTGTGTATTTGTGAAAGGTTGAATCTTTTTCATTAATTTGTTTCTGGAGTTGAACAGGGAATGGAAAAAAATCACTTCAAGAAAATGGTTCTGATGAAGCAACTGATTTAGGGTGGTTGCCTGCTTTTCCTTATGCATTGTTTGCTTCTATGTTCAATTTCCTCTTTGGATATCACATTGGGTAATTTTCTCTATCTCTCAATTTCATGTGCTAAAGTTGGTAAAAAATCACAGTTATATCTAAACTTGTTTTACTCAAAAATAAACGTATATCCATGTTTGTTGTTGTCTGAGTAATGGTCAATCTCACACTCAATTGACCTTTTTGCACAATTGTTGTTTGAGGCACTGATTATGTTAGATTCTATGTTTCCTATTAACTTTCTTGGTTGTCTAGTGCAGAGTGATGAATGGTCCTATTGTCTCTGTTGCCAAAGAACTTGGTTTTGAAGGAAATTCCTTTCTCGAAGGACTTGTTGTTAGTACATTTATTGGTGGTGCATTTGTTGGAAGCATTAGCTCTGGTTTTCTTGTGGATAAACTTGGTTGTAGGCGAGCCTTTCAAGTTGACACAATACCTCTTGTTCTTGGTGCAATCATCAGGTAATTACATGGTCTCTATTGGTGTTGCTGTTTATTTTACCCTGGCAATATACTGGGGTATTTCCAATTTAATCCTTTATTATAATCGAATTTGTTTTCTTGCTTAAAATTATGTCTGTGATTTTGTTTGGTTTTCTTGTTTTTTGTATTCAATTTGTCCACCAAGCCATACTGCCTTCTTGTTGGAATATCCAAAGAATGGCATTTTGGTGTGCTTCAATTGTTTTCAAGATTGACCACCTTTAAATGCTCTCCAGAATGTATCTAACTTGGTATTTTGCATGTCTTTACTGGGAAAATAAGATTGTCACCTCGAGAAGATGATAACAACCCTTCAAAAAAGTTGTAACAATTGGTAAAAACAAATGGGAAAGAAGTATGCACGAAATCAATGATCGCTCCTTGCATATATGTCATATTTCATCTGTGTGTTTTTGAAGTCATAAACATGCATCGTTCTATAAAAGTATACAGACTTTCTCGGGTTTTATATGATAATCATACCTCACACCTCTCTATACCTTGATGCATAAGATAACTTTGAAGAAGTAAACTTTTGTTGCACTATACCTTTAAGCTTATCCTGCCTTTTCCAAGAACCTACTGTCACAGTGATGCATTTCTGCAGGTGCTTAATACTCAAACAAATTGATTGAAATTTGTGGCCATTACATAAAATATATTGAAATCAGCTAGTGTGATATCTTTTTAGTTGCATGTGTTCTAAGTGTATAAGGGTGAACAATCATTATCAATGCCCCCTAGTCCTTAGACTACCTTTGAGCTTTACAATTTTCTTTCGCTTAAAGATTTTTTTGGTTTTCTTCCTGACTGTTGAAAGCATTGTACCATGCACGTACAAGTTTCTCCTCCCAATGCTTAGTGGTCAAATTCTACCTAATTAAATTGTTGTTCCACTCTATCATTTCAGGTTTTCAATTGTCTCCATTACATGTTGTTAGCAGATTCAAACTAATTCTTTAGCTTATTGCCTTTTGTAAACATCTATCGGAGCTAAGAACCTTGATGATAAATTTTGGCCCACATTTTTGTAAATTTTGGCTACACTAATTTCTTTTTGTTGCTATCTTTGGATGATCTACAAGTTAAAAGCTGATGTGTTGAATTTTCTTGCCAGTACTTCTAGTGGAAATAAAGAAGTATAATTTGAGTCTTAACCAAATCAGGAGGTTATTCTGTATCAATTTTGAGGTTCGTAGTTAATTGTAAGAGTATCATATCATATATCTATGAGCCTTGAATTTCTATAGTTTTATGGCCCGGATAGGTCTAGCTAAATTAATCAAATCTTTCCTTCCATGCAAGGTGCCTCTCCTGAATTCTGACAATATTTTAGTAATCTTAACACAAAGTAAGTTTTTGTGATCACTTATGATTATACATGCTACCCTGAGTTTGAGTTCAAGTTAGAGTTCTTTAGGAGGTAGAGTGAACTATAGATTTAATGTGTTTGTTCTGCCCTTCCTACTCCCTGCATCCCATTTGTCTTGTCGCCCAAACCCCATGACACTAGGTTTAAGGACCTAGCTTTTCCAACAATTTTTTTAATCACATCTTGCAAGAATTTAGCTTGGTCTTCTAATGTATATTGTGTAACTTGAGTATATGAAGTTGGAAAGTTGCCTTCACAAACTATCCACTCTCTCTCCCTCTTTCTTTCTTTGCTTTCCCCAACAAACTATCCATTCTTACTAAGATGTCTTTTTAATTGGACATCCCAAAAAGAAATTATAACAGTATTAAATACGACAGAAGGATTATTAGTTTTGGTTGTGTTTGAACTTATATTTCTGCATGCTTTTTCCTTGTTCTGTACTGAAAGCTCTTCTGCGGAGTTGACGGTAAGCCATCCAATCTTGACCTGTTGACTTATCTGGGCTTAGAGCCAGCTATCCGGTTCCTAATTACAACCTCTATTTTCCATTTTTCACTTTGTTTATGTCGTGCTTTCATGCAGTGTTTTGTGAAGTTAGAGAATCTGATGTTCTCAAAAAGGCGACTGTTGGAAACTGGACAGAGTGAACTCTAAAGAATGGTGTACCTGGTTTGGTGCATTCTTTTGACCAAACAGTTATAAAATACTTTTCCACCACATGGAGGCAAAGAGATATGACTAATATTTTCAGCACATGAAGGCTGAAAGTTATTTGTGTTGGGAATAACTTGACTCCAGAAATTAGCCACTAGAAGCTCAAGCTAAAGACAGAGCACAACATTTTGCACATACACTATATAGAAATGAGAAATACAGGAAATATGACTGTGTTAATCATCAAACTGTTGACCATAATTTCCCCTTCAACCTAATTGATTTTGATGTTTTTGGATCAATCATTTAGAAATGGGCTGCAGTTGGGTTAACTAAAAAGTGGAGTGAGATATAATTTTTGGGATGATGAGAAGGCAAATGCACTGGAAACTCTGGACTTCTGATACTAAAGATTTTTCAAGTTTGAAGAAGAGGGTACTAGAGCCTAATAAGCTTTGTGTGATATTATGCTCAAGTTTTCTATTCCTTTCTTATTGTGCACTTATTTACAACTATGTGTAAACAGGCAAAAGAGTATATGCATGCTTTGCATTCTTTCTGCTTTGATGCATAAGGATTTATTCCTAGATTATGGCTGCGGCAAATTTATTTTTGTGAATCCTGTTTCAAATGCATTGTCCTGGAGTTCTCTCAGATATGCATCCTTCCTATAGCCATACTGCTTTCTTATCTAGATCCATTATCAAACTTGTGACAGTGCACAAGCCCACTCATTAGACGAAATACTGTGGGGCAGATTTCTTGTTGGCCTTGGTGTTGGTGTGAACACGGTTCTTGTTCCTATTTACATCTCAGAGGTAATCCTTTAGTTTAAACAAGTTGACTCTTGTGATTATGGGGAACCCTGGTTCTCTACTATTGAATAATTGCATCTAAAAACTTGAGTTCTTTATCTGAAAACTTTAAAAATGTTTCTCTGTACCTACAAGACAATAAGATCAACATACGAACAGTACATGATAACTAAACTTCAAAGGTAAGAATAGATCATCGCAATCGGGTCTCGCTTTATGAGATGCTAATAGATAACCCCACCGGTCGTGCTTAAAGAAAAAGGGCTTCTGACAGATTAACTAAAAATGGAGTGTGATATCACGCTTCATGTGGAGTAGCTCTTGAATCAGCATTACTAGTGATTATATTTTTCTATTTTGTATCCTTTCAGATATGAAGCTCATTTGCTGGAGGAAGGGAATTGTTTCACATGAACTATTTTGGTTGCTTTAAATTCTAAGACACTTGCAATCAGTACTGTGATTGTTTGTTGCATTACTGCTATTGCAGAATATCAGGGTAGCACTATGGAGATAGTTGCTTTCACACTGTCATTGGAGCATCTAAATGTTTGTTTTGTAGATTGCTCCAACAACGTACCGAGGTTTCCTGGGAACGTTGAGTCAAATTGGCACATGCCTTGGAGTTATTGCATCACTTTTCCTGGGAATTCACTCAGAAAGTGATCCCCATTGGTGCGATAATTTGCTACCTTGTTTGTGCTGAGGTTCAATTGTGACAGTCTTTTTCCTTTTCTTGTGTTTATGTGGTGGTCAGTACATTTTCTACCTTAATGTCTCTATTGCTTTACACTTATGGCAGTCGCTATCCTTGTTCAATTTTTTTTTCCAATTTTGGGGTGGAGTTTGGGTGGTAGGGTTATGGTAGGTTAGTGCTACCAATGGTCTTAGTTGACTTCGATAATTTGTTTTACACCAGCCACCTTGAGGCCAATGAGTTTTGGAATGTAAATGCTCTAGAACTAGTGATACAATGGACACAAAATTCCTGATATTCACGACCAGATTATCTCTCTGGTGATAAATACTGCCAATGAGGGCCTGGCCTGCTTCCCGCCCGAAAGAACCAGGAATCAAGGCTTGCCAATGAAGATTGGCCTTTGAAATTGCAAGCAGTTTTTTTTTTCTTTTCTTTTTTCAATATGACTGTCATTTCATTGCATCTTTTTGTGTGTTGCCTGTTTGTTACCTTACATCACCTTCTACTGGAAACTTAGGAGAGGTCGGAAATTTTTGAAAACCAGCTTTCTGATTTCATTGTGCAAAAAGCGTTACTAGAGGGTATCATATCAATACTACATCATCCATTTGTTTCCAACTTGCTGCATACGACATGAAAACCACATAAGATGTGAAGCCTAATTCTTGGCATGTCATTAATGAATTAATTGGTTACTTTTTGGGGTCCACCCTTGTCAAGGTGGCGGACAATTCTATATATTGCGAGCATCCCTGGGTTTATTCTGGCGATTGGAATGCAATTTGCTGTAGAAAGTCCTCGCTGGCTATGCAAGGTGCTCTTTGATTCTGTTCCTTGGCACATACATGCACTTACTATTTATTTTATGGTTCTAAAATCAGTTGACGAATTATTAGGCTGGGAGATCTGATGAGGCAATAGAAGTTATCAAGAAACTCTGGGGGCCATCAGAAGTCAACAGAGCTATTGAAAATATTCAGTCTGTCATTAGGAGTGATGGAGCTGATCTGGACACCAGTTGGTTGGAACTCTTAGAGGAGCCACATTCTAGAGGTTGTATTAAGGTGGTCTTTTTGTTGTCTGATTGGATATCTAGGATCTGAAACTTTAAGGAGCAGATATTGGCTTATGTAGATTGATGCAATCTACTCTTTCTGTTTCTTGAGAGCAGCCAGAACTTTTTGACAGTAGAAAAGTGTTTGATAGTCATTATGTACTGCTTCAACCGTTAAATAGTGAAAATGTTTATTAGAGTATGCAAGTGAATGCAATTAGTTAATTTGCCCATTGGTCCTAATGCAATCAGAAAATTTTGAAATGCCTTTCCTGATCTGTTCTTTCATGATTACGAGATGTATCATGTATTATTTATCAACTTCTGTTTTCTAATCCTGTATTTGAATGTCAATAGGGTCTGTAAAGTGTTAGGTCATTAGTACCATGTCATTGCTATCTTTAATTATGTAAAGTTCTAACTTAGCACTTCATGCACGATCTGCTTACAACTTCAGTTTTAATGGTTCAGCAATGACAGTAAATTTTTTTTTTTTTTTGGGGTCCTTACACTGGCAGTTGCATTCATTGGTGGTGCCCTTTTTCTGCTTCAACAATTTGCTGGCGTAAATGGAGTTCTCTTCTTTTCATCATTGACTTTTGCTGACGTTGGAATCACAAGCAGTGCTCTAGCAAGCTTATGTGTTGGATTTACCAACCTTGCAGGTTAAGTATTTGATGTGACAAGTATATTTACACGGACATGCTTTATCAATTATTGGAGCTAATGTGTTGGTTATTAACGTTCTCCATTCTCTCATGATGTGCGGTAATCTCCAGGGGCACTCAGTGCTACATACTTGATGGAAAAGCAGGGAAGGAAAAGCCTTCTGATAGGAAGCTACTTGGGAATGGTGAGTGATAACTAATTCTAGTTGCAAATCACAAGGAAACATGTCCTTTTTATACCAAAGAACCTAGCTGGCATTGAAAAAAATGTTGGTCAGGTTTGCATGAAAAAGAAGTATCAGTGAGCTAAACATTATGGATTTCTTCTTTCTTTTTTCTTTTATCGGTTCAATGTAGAGGAGACTGTTAGACATCATCTCTCGGGGCATGCAGAACAGGATCCATTGAAAGAGCAATATAGTTGTATGCCATTTTTGTTCTTTATGGTAGCATGCGTGGAATTATCTTTAAACCCTTTCAATTTTCATTGCAGCTTAAGATATGGTTTTAACTTCTCTGTTCATTGATCCTTCTACAGACTGCGTCGATGTTGCTTGTGGTGTCTGCCATCAGCTTGCCAGTAGAGAAGGACATTGGCAACACGTTATCTGTTCTAGGAACTACCATGTATGCTTCCACACTTTAAAATGTACATATTATACACATGGTAAAGAGCCATATAATCTTTTGTCCCAGCTCATTTTTAATTTTTCTGACTGCTATTTATTTGTTAGTGTGCTGCAAATTTAAATAATTTGGATTGCAAAATGACATTTTCATCTCTGCATAACTTAGGTTGGCAGCTTGTAATCAGATTGCTTTATTTGTTTTCTGGAGACACCTTTTTTCATTTAATGTTTTATCTAGTTATGTATGTCAAAGCCTATTATTTGCTCATTTTATGACATTATAATGGCGATTTTGCTTATGCTCTCTCTGCTGTGTATATGACTATCTCCTTGGTTTCTTCTCGCCTATATGACTTGCATCTGAGAGAATTTTACCAGATCTCCCACTTTGTGCTCCGTTAATAGGTACATATTCTTTTTTGCCTCTGGAGCCGGGCCAGTAACTGGTCTTATTATACCAGAGCTTAGCAGCACCAGGACACGAGGAAAGATCATGAGCTTCAGTCTTGCTGTTCACTGGGTTTGCACTGCAATCTCCTTTTTCTACAGATATAAATGAGCAGTCATCGTCTATTTCTAAAACCAGATTAGTGACTAATCAGTTGAATTTAGGGAAAGTGTTGTGATGCGTTCATCCAGTGTCTCTTCTTCCTTCTTCCCTTGTTTGGAGGGTAAATTGGCTAATAAGCTCTTGTAGGAAAAAGAAGAAATCTCTGTGCTTATGTGCTACTTGATTCTCCATCTTTTGCAATCTGGCCGGTCCTTGTTAAGATTGCATTTCATTCGTAATCTTATACTCCAAGTTGTTCTGCTTTTCGTGATGATCAGGTATGCAACTTCTTGGTGGGACAATTTTTTCTGGAACTGGCGGAAAAATTTGGTGTGGCTTCAGTTTATGCAGGCTTCGGCGGATTTTCCTTGATGGCAGCAACATTTGGTTATTACTTTACAGTTGAAACTAAAGGCCGGTCTCTTGAAGAAATCGAGATGTCATTAAATCCCAATTTCCTTGGCGGGAATAAGTGATATTGTCTAATCCAGTGTGGAAAAGGGGAATATCTGCTCCATGTAAAAGGGCTTCATTCTCCTCCATGGTCTCTAAAATTGATTCACAAGTTCATGGTTGTGGCTGCTTGATCCTCCTACAACTTCGAATTTTGTGATGTTGTCTCAGTAGACAGGCAAAAAAGGTGTTCTCAGTATTCTTCTCAATGCTTTAATTTATTTTACTGTTAATCTTTATTGGATACTTGTGCAAAAAGAGGGAGCTGGATGGTTTAATGACAAAAAGTAACTCCAAGAAATGCTATTGTTTGTTTCAGATATTCTAGAGGTTGTACAGAGGGGCTGAAAACAATTGCAATTGTTGCTGTAAACTAGTTGCAATTTTAGTACATTAAAGGTTTAAAAATTAGCTTTAAAGCGAATTGAGACAGCTCCAAGTAATAGTAGTGTAACAATTGTAAAGTTCGGCTGTGAAACACCAAATGATCACATTACTATTCTCAATGGTAGTTGTCACCAGTAACATCATTCATGAAAATCATAGCAAGTTGTTCTTCATTCTTGAATTCTTCCCGAGCATACTAAGATACCAATGAATCTTGCTTCGGTCAGAACTAGCTGAAAGGTTACTTGCTCTTGTGATACCGACATCTACTTGGAAGTGTAATCGACATTAATCATCATCTAATAACATGCGCACGGTAAAACAAGGAAAACCGATGTGCATAAAGTATGACTAATCATATATGAGTTGCTATCTAATAAACTCACAGACCAAAACAACCTCTTAAGGGATCAGTACCTCCTTTATTAATTACTATTAACAGATTGGTCAAAGAACATTCAATTGATTACACACAACATGAACTATTAGGGACTTAGTGATTTAATCGACAAATTTCTAAAGTTTCGAGGTCCAGTTAGTTCTACTAAAATTCATAGACTAAAGTAGGCATGATAAATCTTAAAATCTGAATTGACTTTATAAAATGAATAAAAGAATGAAAATCTAAGAGCGTCACTTGCATGGTAGTAGCCAATCTAGTTACTTCATCTTCTCATTCATTCACTTTCCCTAGCAAGGCCCTATCGTGGATACTTTCTTATTCTCATCTTCAATCTCACTATGTATCGTATGAAAATAGGGTTTAGGTTTTGTGATTTTGGTATATAAATCGCATGCTACAATTTGGAAACTTTATTTTGGACAAAATAATATTATAAGAAAAAGATAATATGATAATTAGTTGATTGAAATAAGGAAAAGGAAATATTTGATTGATTAAAAATTACTCATATTACTAAATATATTATGTCTTGTCAAGAAAACTAAGGTGAATGGAACGTGGTCTTGATAGCTACCATATTCATTGAATCTTGTGTCAAAAGAATTTAAGTTGTAATATTATTTAATAATATGGTCCCATTTGGCAAATGAGTTTTTTGGGTGTTTGTTTAAAATTTTACTGTAGTTTACTTTAAAAGTTGTAGGAAAAATTTTTGAAGTATGTAAATTTTTGAGTATTTTGAAATATATAGTTTAAAAACTTTGAGGAGTTTTTTGAGATTACTATAGCTAAAGTTTTTAAAAAACTCGTAGAAGACAAACTTGGCCAAAAAAGCGTTTGCTAAAAACTTGTATAAGGTAGTTGAAGTAATTATATTGATTCTTATAGAATTAAGCATTCATTTAGAATTCTTGTGCTGAAAAAAATACATACAAGTTCAGCACTGCATAACAAGTTCAGCAAATGAATTTTCATTTATCAAACATTCAAAACATCTGAATATCTGAAAAAGTTCAGTTTCAACACTTTTTTATGTTATCAAACAGGCCCTTAGTCAATTTCTTTGCCTAGTTATTCTTGTTTTGCTGATGGGTCATTAAACTAATGGTAACAGGCAATAAAGTCTCATCTATATGAGAACATATGGGAATAGGTCTGGTCTCACCTAGAGAGGGGGGCAGGGACGTGGGTGGGGGTGGAGAAAGAGAGGAGAAGGGGGAAGGGTGGCGGGGAAAGACGGGGAGGGAAATGGAAGAGAAGAGAAAGTAGAGGGGGCTAGCGGGGAAAGAGGGGAAGAGAGGAGTGGAGAGGGAATGAAGGAGGTGAGGGGGTGGAGGGGGAAAGGGGGAGATGGTGGTGGCGGAAGCAGGGGGGGGAAGGTGGTGGTTGGCAGTAGTGTTGGCAGAGGTGGGATGATGGTGGTGGGAGGTGGTGGTTGAAGACAGAAGGGGACTTATTTTTTTAGTATTTTGAGGTGTGTTTACTGGTATTTTAGAATATTTTTATAAAATTTGAGTGTCTTATTAAGTTTCTATAGTTAAAATTGTAATATAACTTTGTCTATTGAAAACGCGCAAAAAAACGCGTGTCAAACAGATCCATTAATAAATCACTTCTTAAAATATGAAAGGCTTTGTCAACATTTTTAATAATTGATTTTTCTTACTACTAGATGACACTAAATTAATTATATAAATGTATACAATCATAATTATTTCAAAACTATCCTCATATTTCACCAAATTAATTTTTTCAACCTTGACTTTTAAAACGTAAACTCTACATCTCTTACAAATTTAAGTTAGCAAAATTTAGTTGTATTCTCAGTTTTCAATAACTTTTTAGCCTTAAAACACTACGTGACTCACATGCAGTCATTTTTCATGTACAAAAAGAGTCAAATTCTACTTTTTAGTGACGAAAATAAGTATAGATTGGGTCTGATCTTATTTTCTTGAGGAAAAAAATACATATGATTCTGTTAGATCCTATTTTTTTAAGGGCAAAAATAAATATGAATCAAGTCATTTGTTTAACTATAAATAGGATCTGACCTTTCTGTTCATAAACAATGACCATGTATGGATCACATGCAAATTTGGGCTAAAAAATTGTTGAAAACCAAGGTTAGGACTAAATTTTATTGACTTGATTTTATAAGGGACGTAAAGCTACCATTTTCAAAGTGAGTTATGAAAAAATCATTAGGCGAAATGAGAGAGATTTTTGAACTATTTTCCCTATAATTATTATGCTCCTAAGGGGCCATCTAATGAGTGCTTTTAAAGCACTCACTAAAATGTAATTCATTTGGCCTCGCACCCAATTACTTAGAATTAGAATTAGGATAAAGTCTCATATATTTTTTTTATAAATGTAATTATGGGTCTATCCTCTCTTCTTTGTTCATATCCAAAAAATGGCTAAACTAATGCTAGGTTATGATATTAAGAGAACTTTTTTGACAAAAATATGTAATTGTTAACAAAGTTGTTGGTTTTTTTCTTTTCTCAAATCCAAAAATTTATTTATACATAACACAGAGCTCTTCGAGTCAGCATTGGAAAAAAAGGGTGAACTTCCCATCTTTTTTTTTTTTTACAGTAACCAATTCAGGTTCAATATTTTGGAAATATAAAAGTTAAATAAGAAAAACTTATAAATGCAAGGTGAAGTAATAATTGTTAGTATGTGTATTCACATACTAAATTATGTATATTTAGGTGTCCTTACAAGTGCCTATTAGGTACCTTTTTTTTTTTTTTGTCGAAACAGGAGGTCTATTAGGTACATTTTTTCTAAATTTGTGATTACTCATCTTCGCATGATTCGTTCTATAATTTCATAAATGTACACCTTGATTAACACATAGAGTTTTATGAAAGTAATTGATGCTAGCATGTATAATACTAATTGAAAACTACTGAGTGTGATTAAATTGCAGGATATTTGTGAAAATATTTTTATTTAATGTAACACATTTTATTGTGTGACATATGTGAAACAAATAAAAGATCTTAAATTAAAATTGGAGGTACAAAAAAAGTATTAATAGAGTTTTAAAAAATTTTCTATGCAAAATAATTATTTCACTAAAAATCTTCATTTGAAGTACTTGAAAGAAAAAAAAGTTAGATTTAGGTGTCTTTAGATAAAAGATTATTTGAAAAACAAATTAGAATACTACAATACTTTTTGTGATTTCATGTACGTGATATAGAAAGGTGATTAAAAAATCAAATAGTTATTGAAAACGTATCTATGATGCAAAAAATTAAAAAATTAGCCAGTCAATTTGAATATGCTTTTATAAGTCCTGCCTTATTGCTAATGTTTGATTTTATTTTATATTGGGAAGAGATTTCTTTAAATCAAAACTCATTTAAATAAAGCCTGTGTAGGTAATTAACTTGATGTTAATTTTGTGTATTTTCAAATTTAGCCTTATCTCTATTATCCATTAACCCTTATGTATACAATATATAAAGGGAAAGCATCACTGATTGTTTAAATACACAATGTCATTCTTTAAAATTCCTAATGTAACCTTAATTATAAGGACAAATTTGTCTCAATTGCAGATAGTTTTTGAATCAGAAGGTGATTATCTATTCAGTTATCAATTAACTATAACTTCCTCATGCTAACTTCGAACTCCTACATATTCTTCTCTACTTCCGTCATCTTTGTCTCGTGTATGATTATCTACATTATAATGGAATTTGACCAATAGATCCATTAAAAAACTTTTTAAAGAGATAATTGTGATAAATATATTTTTTGTTAATTGCACACATGTTAGAGTGTGCCTTAAGCACTAGTGATGAATAAGTTAGTAATAGTGAAATATATAGAATTACAAACATAATGAGATAAAAAGGATAAGGTGCAACAATTGATGATGTATTGCAAGTATTCAAATTTGTAAAGGAGATCTTGGTCTTGAGTTTGGTAAAACAAATCAATAATGTATTGCGAGTATGTCATAAGGTTGAGATTAAATAAAAAGGTTGAGATCAAGAATGAAAGATTTTGGGTTTAGTTCTCCTTTCTCCCGAATAGAGTATATAAATCATAATACTCTATAGAAATAAGTGATGGCCTTCAAGATGAGGAAAAAATAGAATTGAAAAAGTAAGAGAACGGGACGATAAACTACTAAACTAATTATATGGGGCTTAAGTGTGATTAAATCAGAATAATATGCATCATTATAATTAGGGATAATTTTAGAAACCTCCCTTCTGACAATTTCACTCGACTCCCCTCAAGTTTAAGAAATTACACTTACCTCTCTTGACATAGTGAAACACATATAATGCCCTCCACTTAGTAGACAATTTGGGGGTATGAAATTGGTTGTCAATGGAGTTTTGTGTGTGTATTTTTTATTATGGCAAGTATTGATATGGTATATACAATTTAAGATCTTTTGGATGGTTACTTGATTTTAAAACTTATGGTTGGATGGTTGTTAGGGATTTGACTTATTGATTTATGCAAAGTGTGGAAGAAAATGATTAAATATACTGTATTTTTCTTTCTTAGTTTTGCAAAAAAGGCAATTCAGGATTTTTGAAAGAAAATCTATATTCTTGGACTTACACTGTTACTAAGCAGTAAAAGTAGGGGAGATATATGTAATTTTTAAAATTGAGAGTAGCTCTTTGTAATTGTGAGAAACCTCAAGGGAGGTTTGTGAAATTATGCCTTATAATTACATGTTTCATTTCACATTTTCAACTTAGAAATTACATTTTTTAGTACTATAAATTCCAAAATTGAACTTAAAGGAGCCCCTTGATTTAATTTAAAGGAGAGTTGCTTTTATCATTTCCTGGAGAAAATAAAATCAAAATTTTTTTTGCCTTTTCTACTGTTTATCATGTTTTTGCATTGCATAACGAATTCACAACTTCAAGCGCATCTGAATTTCACACAAAATCTGTTTAGTTATACGAGAATATACATTGCATCTAAAGATATGATCCATATGTCCTGTCTCAAATTATTAAGCATTGCCAACCGTAAAGACAATTATTTAAATTAAATCAAGATATGTACATCAGAAATAGTAGCATAAGAATAAGAAGTACAATTATACCATAACAACTTAAAGAGAACTTTATCGAACTGTAGCTGCCCAACGGCCACAAGGGTACCTAGCACACTGTTTCAAGTACTCGCGAGTACCCGACCAGGTATCTATGTTTTAAAAAAATAAAATTTAATAATAAATAATTAAAAATTAACTAAATTTTTAGAATTTTATTATTTGTTTCATCATTAAAATTAATAATCATCACATAACCATCATCCCGCATATGTTCATCTTAAAAAAATTATAAATAATATTTATTACAATAACAAAACATGAAACGTTATAATAATTGATAAGTTTAACTTTAAAAAAAGTTAACATTGTTATATTCTTGAAATAACAAAAATGCATCATCTCCAAGATAAAAATATTTGTGAACAATGATTAGACCTTTCCTATTATATTAGTTTTGATAAATAAATTTATATATTTAACCTCACATATAAAAAGCAAAAAAAAAAAAAAATCTTACAAATGAAGCCGCACGGTTCTACAAACATGTGAACCACAACCCGACCTAATTGGTTACTAACCTGAACCATGACTAGTCCCGCTCTCAAATGCAAACCTGGTACTCGAAATTTTCAGGTTGGGTTGGGTCGATTTTCTTGAATTTTTTTGTCCAGCTCGGTTTGAACAGCCTTAAAATCTTGTAACAAACATGATTTTTGTAGAATAGACGTTAATAAATAAGGCTATTACTAGCCCGCACTGGGGTAGTTCAACCGATTTCTGCTCAGGATCTTTACTCTAAGATCTCTAGTTCGAGTCCTAGTTGTTACCGTCTTGGACATCAGTTGAGTCCGTTCTGTCTGGGCGCTGTGAGATTAGTCGGGTATAGATCTAGATACTCACCGTGTCAAAAAAAAAAGGCTATTACTATTATGGTGTCAAAAACAAATAAAAGCTAAAATAGTACTCCCTCCGTCCCAAAATGGAAGGACGTTTTTCGGGAATAGCACTTTTTATGCACCGTGAACTATGATTGTCAACCGAGGCTTTACTTCCAAATTTACCCTGCTGGAAGTACATTAGTCAACTGAAGTTTGTGTTTTTTAAAGAGTCATAATTCTGTGGGTCCCACTTCAATCAAATGCATCTTTTCATACGTAAAGGACACGTATCAATAGTGGCCTCATAAATTGGGAGTTGTCCAGCACACACTTCGAACTTCTCTAAATGGGAATAAATGGTGGGTCCTATTAAATTTTTTGGGACTTTTTTACATGTGCACAACAAGGGTAAGAATGGAATCCTGGAAGGAAAAAATTTTAGCATGACTCTAATTTTGGGACAATGAAAAAGGTGAAACATGACATTAACAATGGGACGGAGGGAGTAAATTAAAAGTACAAGCACAAAAAAAGCACCTATCATCCATTGGTGGATTAACTATTACTATGATTGAAGGCATTATGAGGTCAGGAGTTTCCCTTCATCACTCTACATATGGCTTTTTTTTGTAACTGTCCACCCAATGCAATGCACTTCCTAGAAATAAGCTTGTAACTGTCGTTAACATTATTCTTGGGTGAACACAACAGCAAAGAGACAATAACAGCAACAACAAAGACCCAAACAAATAGGAAGCTAAAAAAAAAAGAAATCTAAAAATTAGAAAATCTTACAAAATTAACTTGCCAGAGAAAACCAAAAAGAGACAATTGCGTTTGGCCATTGCACTTCCCATCCTCAATCTCCTGTCACCACTACCACCGTCCTAGCCACGGCTGCACTTGCCATGCATCACCACCTCCTCCTCCGGTAATCACCCAACTTCTCTTGAAACACTATTGCCCCAACACCACCTGCACAATAATTCCTCTAAACCCCACCTTAGTAAATGATAATACAAGGGTACATAGGATATCTTTTCATCTGATCATACAAACGTTACTAGTTAAATGCCAGTGTAGACCAAAAGCCTCAAGAATTTGTTTCTATTAATTACTACTCCATTTTTCTATTTGCGTCCTTCCTTTCTCAAGAATAAAGGAAGATTCTATGCTAAACTACACACGACTTGTTTTGAGAGATTTTCGTATTTGTGTCCGCAAACTCTTAAGAAATACGGATAGCTTCCAAGACTTTAAATTTACTTAGTGGCTATTTGTTGGCTTGTAAATTTCAGTTTCTGAGGACCTAATAATTTTGTTGCTCATATGACAGTTTGAACAAGTTCCAATACTACCGGATTCAAATGATGATCTTCGCAAACTGGTTGACCCGAGACTTGGGGATAATTACCCAATCGAATCAGTCAGCAAGGTAAAAATTAGTACATGACAACTTAAGCACTTGTCCTCTTGCAACTGTGTCTTTAGTTTCTTAAAGAAAACAATTCGGTTAATTGCAGATGTTTCAGCTAGCCAAACTTTGCACGCATAAAAAACCTGAATCAAGGCCGAGCATGAGATCTGTTGTCGTTGCGTTAATGGCATTATCATGCCCCAAAAAGGGTTCTAAGATTTTTGTTCCTCATTTAGAAACTGAGATCTTGAAATACGAGTATTCTATGATCAAGTCTATGGAAACTGAAGTTCTGGGATCTGAGACTTTTACAGTTACATCTGTGGAATCTGAGGCTTATACAATAGAAGAAGGAATTGAGGATTAAATGGTAGTTGACGTGAACGATATGTGGCTGCTCAAATTTATTTTTTCATGAAGAAGAAAAATTTTAGATGTGAAACCAATGACCTACGTTGATAAAACAATTTTGCAAAACAATCCTCACCAGGTCTTGCAACTAATGTCTACAAGATAGAGGTGAGAATGTGCAATCACAATATCAAACTCACATTCATTCATGCCCACTTTTCCCAGGATGCAAGGGAAATAGATTGGAATTACTATATGCAAATGTGTTAAAGATGGTTTCAAATGAATACTTTATCCATAGAAGCAAGAAATATTTGCAATAATGTTATCATATGTATTGCTATCTCATTAGAAAAGTTACACTCACCAACTATATATTTGCAAATCTCCTACTCTCTCATAAAATGAAGGTATTTATTTCGTTCTATTTCTTGCCAACAAAATTGATTTTATGGACTTTCACGAATGCCCGTTTGGCAAATAAGTGTTTTGGGTGTTTGTCTAAAACTTTATTATAGTTTACTGTAGAAGTTGTAGGAAAAGTTTTGAAGTGTGTAAATTTTTGGATATTTTGAAGCGTATAATTTAAAATTTTTGAGGAGTTTTTTGAAGTTACTGTAGTTAAAGTTGTTAAAAAACTTGTAAAAAACAAACTTGGCCCAAAACTTGTCTGCCAAATTTCCTTAAATTATCCAGATTAATGTTTATATTTCCCATTGGCTTAGCTTAGACCATTTTTATTCAATAGCTTCTTTTTTAACCAGATTTTTAACTGATTAATTAAGATTGTTTTCACAATTTCCAACTAGTTTAATTGCTTAGAATATTCTTTCTCAGTTGGAAGTGATCCTGTTTCCACAATAATTTGGACCAGCATTGAGTCTTGCTCAATGACAGTACAAGATAACAACCAGATAGAATCTTAAACATATTGAACAAAATCTTTGTTTGGGTACTTTTACTTTCAGTAGTTTGTATCTAAGATGTTTTTGCATTTAATTCCAATTCACGTTTTGGTAGTATGTGGTTACTATATCAATTGGTTATGTTCGTCCATTCATGGCTAATCATCCTGGATTCTTAAACATTTGGTTTAATTAAGCAAAGCATTACTTCGTCTTTTGTGGATTGTTTTAGTAACTAAAAATACGCATTAGTTTAGTACTTTTTCCCTACCCTCGTATCATTGAAAGCAATTTGTGTGATAGGTTGTAATTTTATCGTTTATTTCATTATTAATTTCCTCTATTACCTGACCCGATGTGGATCTCATTTTTAGTATTTTGCATTTATTTCAGGGAGTAAAACGAAAATATGATAATAAGTATCAATTTGACAGAAAAGGAATCCAAATAATAGAGCTTATTCAAGGGGCGATATTGGAAAAGGAACACTTATTCTCATTTTGGTAATTTCTGCAAAAAAAAAGGACGGCTGAAGGGCTTCTTCTTCTTGGTGGGAGCCGCCGCACAGAGGATGCTTAGTTAGTAACTAAATAGAATAAGTCACTGGCCATTTAGTCCAGTGATCATCACTCTCTTTGGTGACTTTGGAGGTCAAGGGTTCTACCCCTGCCTCCCTCAAATTTGTCACAATATGTGGTTGGTTTTAATTGACCATCTCCCCTGGGCCCTTACCCATTCTCCCTAGATTAGTCTAGATTAAATTATAGATATCTATCATTGCCGACAAAAAAAAAAAAAAAAGTAACTAGATAGAATATGAATTGAGAGCAGAGGACTAGCACTATCTTGTTTCTCCTTAGTTTTCCGTCTTTTAGCTTAGCTCTGGACCCTTTCAGCTTTTAGTAGTTTATTTTGCTCCATATGTCAGGAAAGCAAAACACAATCAATTACCCTCCTGTAGCTTGCTTTCTTGTTGGATAGAACGAATTGAATTCGCCCATTTTCCAATTGATGGCCGCAACTCTTGCTTCAATTTCTTGTGGGCTTTGTTCATCAAACATCAACTAATTTTCTCACTCTAATCAAGGAACAACGGAGGCTTTAGTTTGACTAAAAATTGTGAGATCGATTAAATTTTATTTTTTTCTTTTATTTATTGGTATTCGCATATTTCTTGTTTGCATTGCTTGTGATTATTTAATTAATTGATTGTCTTGGATCCAGATAATTAGTTAATTTGGTAATCTATTATCAATTAGGGCATTAAATCATTAATTGCTTAATTGTCTTGAAATAGTGATAACTGGCACGATTAGATTTGTGTCAGGGGGATATGCGTGCTAATCTGAAATAATCCTGGTAGTGCGTTATTTGGTTAGAATAGGGCTCCTCTAATACGTAAGGCAATTGGGGAATTAAATCTTATGGGCGTACCTAAGATTATTTCCTAATTAGGGCAGTGATTAACGGGCGTACCTTAATCACCGGCACAGTAAGAAAGGGTTGACTGTCATTGCTTGTTTGGTAGTTATAACCTATTTATTAATAAATAATTGGAATTGCTTGTGCATCGATGATCAATTAGGTGAACCATTGCTGAAGTTATTTTTTGGCTAGATCATTAGTTATCATTCATTTGACTTTAGTAAATTATTATTTAATTTTTAGTAGTTTCTTGGATTTTATTTGCATTTATTTGATTGTCACCTTCTACGCAAAAATACTCCCTGGTTATTGTGAATTTGAAAAGAAACAGTTACATCCGGTCCCTTTGAATTCGACTCTACTTACCACTATTTATAAAAATTAACTTTAGTTGAACAGGTTTTTATTATTGCACATGCTGCCCGACATCCTATCATTGTGCAAGTACTGTCATCAAAGATAATGATGAAGTTTTTATAGAAAGGCTTCTATGCATTAAGAGTATCATAATTCGAGCTGGTACAAGAGTTAAAACTTATAAATAATTTCATTTTAGGAATAGAAAGTGATTTGTGCATTTGCACGAAAAAGAAGAGAACAAGTCATCTTCTGGAGGAAAAGGATATCGATTCTCACTTATTTATTCCATCATGAATTGCTATTAGGTTGTTTCGCCCTGCTAAGATCCCTTTTCTTAGAAAATTTTTACATGTTTCAAAACTGATTTGGCATCAGAGTTCTCTGATTTTCCATTTAGAAATACTTAAATGCTTCTTGTCTTCAAGCATTGCAAGCGGTCCTCGTCAGGTTTCAATAACATGTGGAACACATGGAAAACTAGAAATAATGAAGTCTTTGTTTTTTGGAAATTAATCATTTATATCGATTATAAGAATGATAAGAATATTAATGGTCCATTTGGAGTTACGTACTTTAATACAAAGTATTTCACCAATAGATTTTTAAATAAAAACATTTATTAAGTGCTTAAATGTTTCTAAGTATATTGTTTGGATACATAACTCAATAGTAGTAATTGTATTGAATGATGTATAATTTGAAAATTTTTAAATATATTTATATCTTTATTTAATTCATAATATAAGATAAAATGATTAAATACGTTTTATTTTTTAAAACACAAAAGTACTAAATTTGAGTTTTTACTAAAAATGTTTTTAACACTGAAAACTTTACTCCTGATTTTATGAAATGGTGTTCACCAAAAGTTTCTAAAGTACTTTTATCACTCAAAAGCATATTGTTACCAAAAGCATCGCAACCCAAACAAAACTTCAGAAAGCAACCAAAATATTATGGATCTAAGGCCTCTATTCATGCCTATAGTACATATAAATTTTTTTTCAAGACATAGTACATACACGTTTGAAGAAGGTCAAAATTGAGATTTAGTTCTCAAGCATGATTATCTACTTTACTCTTTTTTTTATACCCTTTTTCCCTTCCCTGAGTCCTCGCTGCTCCAAACCTAGTAGTAGCCAAGTTTGATCTTTGTCTATCAAACAAAAGTTCAACTCTTTGGTCATTAGCCTCCACGGCTAGTGGTTGACTAAACTAGAACTTTTAACTCAAAAAGAAAATAATTAAGTGATAATTTGGATGCCAATTGAATACAATTGCAAATATGTATAACAAAATGGAAATCGAAAAGTGAAAAGAAATCACGCTATGCTTAATATAAAATTTTGGTGCCCATATGGGATTTTTTTTTTTGGGTGCCTATAGGGGATTTAAACTCAATCTCTTTTGACTTTACAAATCCAAGAAAAAATAAATGGCATGGGATTTAAACTCAATCTCTTTTTTTTTCGTATGTTATTTGACAAGAAATGATGATATTTTATTATTATTAAATTAGTAAGAAATTCAAATTTATTTCCTTAACATTCACTAAAAGTTGAGTTTAAATATATAATTATTTTTAAATGGATATAAATGGGTGAATCGAATCAACCCACTATCCAGTAATTAAATGGATTTACTTGGATAGCCAATCAGACCAACCCAATATTAATGGGCGGGTTATTAGTGGGTAGGTTTGGATGAGTCAACATAATTGGATTGTGATTGATAGTTCTAATCCTATGTGACACAAAATGGAAGATTACTTCATAATCACTAAAGACTATCAGTAAAACGTAGACTTGTAAATTACTCAATAAATTAATTAAGCATGGTTTAATTTTCGAACATGATCAAATTTGATGTATAATAAATGAACTTTGAGATATATATATATATATATATATATATACATATAATAAATGAACGTGTGTATATTGCTTTTCAACATAGTTAATGCTGGTAGATTGGCTAATCTGTTGTACCAAGTTTTGGCTTTATACAAAAATTAAGAAAAAAAAAAATCTGTTCTTCAGTCTCCATTGTGATTTACACAAGGGCATATGATCATATAATCTGTTTGATACTTTATAAACGATTATACAAAATCCCTGGGAAGCCCACATGGCCCTATTGTCATTCTTTGCATACCAGATAATTTCCTATTTTTTATACATAATACATAATACATAATAGTTTAGCTTTTGTTATGAATCCCAAACCACATGCATTTGAGTCAAGTGTATATTAGGAGTTGGGATAGGATTATTCAATCCACGCGATTCAACACTAGTGTCATTGTTTTTCATATTGTTTGCCTTTGTAAAGC